GAAGAGCNGCAGTAGCTACTAGATCATGTTGAGCGATGACATTGCCGCGTTCCGTTGATGAATGTCGACGATAGAGCTGATTGGTCAAACTGGGAAACAAGCAATCCAAGTCGAACTTGATTCACTGCGAACGTAAGGTGTTTGGACCTGTAGTTCCTACTCCTCCACATGTGAAGCCCGTTGGCTCAAGTGGGTTTTGTTCGGAAGCGTAATGAGAAGAACGAAATTTGCGTTCAAAGTCGTCTTGTAGCACAAGGTTTCTCACAACGCCGGGATTGACTATGACGAAACTTACTCACCCGTTTATGGATGTGATTACTTTTCATACCTTATCAGTTTGGTCCGAAAAACTGGATATGCAGCTGATGGACGTAGTAACCGCGTATCTCTATGGGACTCGTCGGAAATTTAATATGAAAGTTCCGAAGGACTTACATTGACTGGTTCAAATATTTCAACCCCGGCACGCTCTCAATTCGGCTGAGGCGTTCACTATACGGTTGAAACAACCGGAAGAATGTGGTATAACCGTTTAAGTGAGTATTTTGACTAGTCGGATATGTGAATAACGAACTATGCCCCTTGTGTGTCATTAAGAGTCACATTTCCGGATGCGATTGTTGCAGTATAGTCGATGACATGAATTTCATCGGAACTCCTGAAGAGCTCGCGAGAACTGCTTCGCACCTGAAGGTCGGAATTTGTTGAAAGATCTAGGTAAGACTCATACTGTCGGGCTCGAGATAGAGCATTGTTCGGATGGAATCCTAGTACATCAATCGAACTACCCAAAGGTGTTGCGAGTTTAATGAGGATAAAGCGAAGTCTTCGGTACTCCTATGGTCGCGTACGGTAGATGCAAAGCGAGATCCCTTCCGTCCGAAGGAGGATGTGAAGAGATTTTGGAGCCTGAGTTCCTTATCTAAGTGCGATAGGCGCTTTTTGTACTTAGTCAATGCACTAGACCCGACATCTCCTTTGCTGTTAATCTTTTGGCAAAATACAGCAATTGCCCAACACGCAGACTTGGACTGGCGTGAAAGACATCTTCCGTTACTTAAGTCTACGGATTTGGGCTTATTATCCCTACGAATCCTCGAGTGATGCCGCCCTATGCTCCTCGGGTTGATTCTTGGCCTTGTTGGTTATGCCGACGCTGATACTATCTGATCCGCACAAGGGCGTTCTCAAACGGGTTATGTCTTTACGTTGGAGGCACCGCAAATCTTGGAGGTCAACTAAACAGACCTTGTTGCCACTTGGTCTAACCATGCTGAATTCTCGCCTTACATGAAGCAACTCGGGGATGCTTTGGTTGAGAGCAGTTGGGCCATATTCGAAGCTCCTGTGATCTTCATCCCGCCGTTAATGCCCCGACGCGATTTTTTGAAGACAACACGCTTGCATCGAACAGCTCAAGAAGGGTTACATCAAAGGAGACAACACCCAAGCATATTGCGCGAAGTTCTTCTTTACACATCAACAACAAGAGCATCAGAAGATTGAAGTCACGCAAATCCGATCACAAGACAATCTGGCCGACCTCTTCACCAAATCACTTACGAAGGCGACGTTTCAGAAGCTTGTTCATGGAATTGGTATGCGTAAACTTCTGAGCTGTAACTTTGCTATTTCTCTTTTGGAATTATGTCAAACTCAGGGGAGTATCTTCTAGATACTTGCTTGATCTTAATGTACTCTTTTTTCCTACGATTAGGAGCATTTTTCCCACTGGGTTTTTGCTACCTAACTAGGTTTTAACGAGGCAACCCACCTTGGGCTGGCATATCCCTGATGACGTCCTGTAGACGTTTCTTTTGACTTTGCATTTCTCACGCATTTTTCCTTAGACTATGGATTTTGTCCCTACTTGGGTTTTTGCCATAGCCTTAGGTTTTTAGTTGAGACTTACTACTTATGCATTCCTACCTTATTGAGAATAAGCGTTGTTCCTTGGAATCAATGCCGACGAGTCGACTTCCTCAACTTCTGCATTGATGCTGAATCTACCTTGAGTATTTACCCACTCAAGGGGGAGTGTTGTAAACATTCCTAGTTTAAGTATGATTGTGTAAATCCTAGATAAGATTTGATTCTAGTTATCCTTTCCTATTACAACTTGTATTACTTGGAGAAGAAGGAATATCTTCTCTCCCTTTACTACTATAAATAAAGGCACAATGTAGGAGGGATAACAACACACACATTCCCCTACAATTCTACAAACACACATCTCTCTCCTCTCTCTCTCTGTAGCCGGCCCTAGTCCCTCTGTCAGATAAAATAGACCACAACATAATACTAATTTTATGATTTTGTGCATTAAATATACAAGTTAATTTATCTACCAACACAACAATAAAACAATAAACCTAAAATAGCTTCGGCTATTGCATATATACTCCAATCCCTAATGCACAAAACAAAGCTATATGTTTCGTGCAATTTTTACCTACAAAATAGTCTAATTTGCCTATTCCACCAAACCCAAATTTAAAGGGTCTAATTTAATTCCAAAATAGTCTAATTTACCTACATGATTCATGTGCATTAGATCACAAGTTTATTTAATTAACTACAAGTACAAACCCACAACATTCAAACATTATCTAATATCACTCAATTTTTTTTGGAATAGGTAAATTAATTTAAATGTAGGTAAATTAGTATAAATATTTTATATCAGTAGGTAAATTAATTCATATGTAGTTTATTACATGATTTAAATAATATTATTTTTTTGTACGACATATGTGACATCCCACATCGCTCAGGGTAGTGGATCCTGTAAGCCTTATATGTATATTCTCATCTCTACTTAGTAGGAGGCCTTTTGGGAGCTTACTGGCTTCGAGTTCCATCGGAACTCTGAAATTAAGCGAGTTCGCATGAGAGCAATCCCAAGATGGGTGACCCACTGAGAATTTCTCGTGTGAGTTCTTAGAAACAAAACCGTGAGGGCGTGGTCGGGGCCCAAAGCAGACAATATCGTGCTACGGCGGAGTCGTGCCCGGGATGTGGTGGGGGCCTGGGCTGGATGTGACAATTTGGTATCAGAGCCAATTCCTGGGCGGAAGTGTGCCGACAAATACGTCGGGCCCCTAAGGGGAGTTGGATTGTGACATCCTACATCGCCGAGAGGAGTGGATCCTATAAGCCTTATATGTATATTCCCACCTCTACCTAGTACGAGGTCTTTTGGGAGCTCGGGCCCCTAAGGGGGGGTGGATTGTGACATCCTACATCGCCGAGGGGAGTGGATCATGTAAGCCTTATATGTATATTCCCACCTCTACCTAGTACGAGGTCTTTTGGGAGCTCACTGACTTCGGGTTCCATCGGAACTCCAAAGTTAAGCAAGTTCGCACGAGAGCAATTCCAGGAGCAAGTTCGCACGAGAGCAATTTCAGGATTGGTGATCCACTGAGAAGTTCTTGTGTGAGTTCCCAGAAACAAAACCATGAGGACGTGGTCGGGGTCCAAAGCGGACAATATCGTGCTATGACGGAGTTGAGCCCGGGATGTGACAACATATGTCTATTATTTTATTTTTCAATATTGGTAAATCTTTTATATATGTTACTAATAATTAGGATGGGTAATAGTATGTTCAATAATTATTTGTTCATTATAATTAAGGTGAGTAACAATATTTATTGATTTGATTTGAAGATTGTAGCACAAGTTGTATATATTTTGTAATAATAGGTCAATTACTTTTCTATGTGGCAATGTTTTTCAAATTTTGGTTTTGTTTCGATGTTTAGAATTAGATGAGTTTTTATCTAAGAAAAAAAAGTTGGAAGGGTCTATATCTAAAGAACTCATAATATAATCAATTTTTTTTAAGGAGATTAATTTAATCAAATTAATAAAGAAAACTCATGCCCAATTCAAGAAGTCATCAACTACTAATTTAAGTAGATTTTCTTTTAGTTGTTACCATAGTCCGAAGCTAGTGACGACCATATGATCAGCACGTGGTTCCTCTGTCTTCACATCTCTCACCTACTCCTTACATTAGGCAGACCACCACACCCATAACTTTCAAAGTTTGAACACAAATCGTCCTTAAAACACATGCAAAAACCTGCAAAACCAGAGAGAGAGAGAGAGAGAGAGAGAGAGAGAGAGAGAGAGAGAGAGAGATGGTGAAGAACATAAGTGAGGTGGGAGTGGAGAACTTTGTTCAGGCAGGGCTAGACGTTGAAGAGGCCAAGGATTTCGATAGAGTCCTCAAAAATACAATCTCCCGCACGAACACAACGGACCCAAAAGAGATATGGCGGCAGATAGTGGCTGAGAGATTGCTGAAACCATCACACCCTCATGAGCTGCACCAGTTGATCTACTACTCAGTCTATGCCAATTGGGATGCCTCCACCAAAGGCCCTCCTCTCTACTGGTTCCCTTCTCTGTAATTCACTTTTCTCCATTCTCCCACCCACTTTTCTTTTGCCTTTCCTTTCTCTGTCTCACTTTTTCTCTTGTCGTAAGATTTTGTTCTTTTTAACTTGGCATGTGAGGAATGAAATCCGAAATCTATAAAATTAAAGAGATTGTTATTCGCATTCTAAAAATCTCATTTTGCACCTTAAATATAATTAAAAAGAAAAATATATTGTGTAGAATGAGATTTTTAGAACATATTAATATCGCGGATATAAGAGGTCACTTTTGATTAATTCAAATATTTGATGCTTCTCTCTCTCTCTGTGTGTGTGTATATATATATATATATATATATATATATATATATATCATGAATGTGTGGATCTTGGAGAAATAATTCTGCAGACATGGAATGTCTTCTTGCTTCTACTTTTTAATTTTGTTTCTAAATCCTAACCGAACCCTGTTCTTCTCTATTTTCAGACACCAGTCGCGACAAACAAACTTGGGGCGATTGATGGAAAAGCACGGTTCAGAGCTTTTAGGAACATCATATAAGGATCCCATAACAAGTTATACACTCTTCCAGGAATTCTCTGTTGGGAATCCCGAGGTAACTACTCATTCGTATCCTTGAGTTTTGGCAGGCTTGATGCATGTTTTTTATTGAACGAGCTGTGCTGTTATTGTTCTAGGCTTACTGGTCACTTGTTCTAAAAGAGCTCTCGGTTTCATTTCGAAAAGTCCCAAAGTGTATTTTGGATAGGACTGACAAATCAAAACGCAGTGGATCCTGGCTTCCACATTCAGTTTTCAATATTGCTGAATGTTGTTTGCTACCCACCAGCCACCCAAGAAAAGAGGATGATAGTTTGGCTGTTGTATGGAGGGATGAAGGTTGCGACGATGATTCTTTTGTTAATCATATGACATTAAAGGAACTTCGGGAACAAGTAATGTATGCTCCTATTTGATTTCCTTAGCACAGTGACATATGCTTCAGATCAGTGCAATATCTGCTTTGACAATTGTTTAAGCCTTTTGATTCCATCTTTTCCGAACTTTTCCATCGTTCTGCTTGTAATGTTGCCGGAGCTTTATTCCCTTTGTATACACGATGTCTTTAGTTTTCCTCGTTTTTTGATGTTGTCTACGACATAATTGACAGGTTGGTGGCTAATGCACTGGATGCAACCTTTTCAAAGGGTGATGCAATTGCTATCGACATGCCAATGAATGTCAATGCGGTTATCATATATTTAGCAATTGTACTAGCAGGATTCGTTGTTGTATCAATAGCAGACAGTTTTGCTACAAATGAAATTGCAACTCGTCTACGCGTGTCTAAAGCAAAGGGTGTCTTTACCCAGGTGAGTTTCCGTGACTGGTAGCTAAATGCACTGGATCGCGCTGATTATTCTCTGCTAGGAATTTTTTACTTGCTAAAGTATCATGATGAATTCTCATGGCAGCAAGTTTCAATAACATATCTGCTTGATTAAATTTTGAATAATCCACTTATTTGACTTAAGAGCCTTGAAAGTGCTGAAAATTCAGGATACAGGATTTCATATTAAGAGTGTGTTTTCAAACTATAATTTTCAATTCTCTCTGGATTTCATATTTTGCAGTGTGTTTTTTTGGCTCTTTTTCTAGCAAATGATTTCTACTTTCACTTTGTATTCAGGATTTCATACTAAGGGGAGGCCGGAAGTTTCCTCTCTACAGGTAGATACTGCTTCCTTATAAATAATGCTATCTCTCTGCTCTTTCAGAGATTGAAATGTCAAAGTGTTAATTATACATATAAATGCTAGTTTAACTGTTACATCTGTGAATGTTGCATGTTGCATGTTGCATGTTCATGTTCATGGATATGATTTTTCTTTCCTTGCAGTCGAGTTGCAGAGGCCGCTCCACATTTAGCTATTGTGCTTCCAGCAATTGGGAGCAATGTAGGCATTCAGTTAAGAGAGCAGGATCTATCCTGGCATGATTTTCTTTCTCGTGTCGATCACCTTCCAAGGTAATTAGTATACCAGCGATATTGATCTGGCCAATTAGACTCTGTTATGCAATGAGAGACTTATCTTGTTTCTCAATCAATGTAGTTTCAAACCAATTTGTATATCCATGTAACGCTATTCTCTTCTTTGCAGAAAGAACTACTACTCTCCAGTCTATCAGCCAGTCGACTCCGTGACTAATATTCTCTTTTCATCTGGAACCACAGGTAAAGAAATTGCTTTTAAAAAAAACTTTTATGGTTAGCTCTACTTTGCAACACATTTCATCTTTTGATCTTCGGTTTATATTTTGGTGTTTATCAGGAGATCCGAAAGCTATTCCATGGACACAACTTTCACCAATTAGATGTGCTGCTGATTCATGGTCTCACAATGATAATCAAGTTGGGGATGTCTTCTGCTGGCCAACAAATTTGGGATGGGTTATGGGTCCAATCTTACTCTACTCGTGCTTTCTAACTGGTTCAACTCTTGCTCTGTATCATGGGTCTCCTCTCAGTCGTGGCTTTGGAAAATTTGTTCAGGTGAAACCTATATACTTTTTTTCAAAGTTCATATAAAAAGTGCAAGAACTTCATGTATTATAACTAGTAACTACCTACGAGTACCATGCTATCCAATGCCTTCTTACTTTCGTCTATTGTATCTGTTCAGGATGCCAGAGTAACTATATTGGGCACAGTTCCAAGCTTAGTAAAGGCTTGGAAGAGTACACAGTGTATGAAAGGCCTAGACTGGACAAAGATAAGGTAATCTTTTTATTTAAACTTCAGAACGATTTATGAACATGAGACCGAGACTATGGACTTAAAGCATGGTTTGTGCAGATCATTTTGTTCCACTGGTGAAGCGTCTAGCGTTGATGATGACCTTTGGCTCGCTTCCCGTGCTTACTATGGACCCATCATTGAATGTTGTGGGGGCACAGAGCTTGCTTCGTCCTACATCATGGGAAGTCAGCTACAGCCACAAGCTTTTGGAGCATTTAGCACAAAGTCGATGACAACAGGCCTTGTCATCTTTGATGAACATGGAATTCCTTATGTAAGCACATGACTAGCTGGTTTCTAATTGTGGTTCAATTCCTTTAACCTACCTGTCACTCGTTTACATCATGCTAGTCCCGGGGATATGTTTTTCTTGAATGATGGGTGACAGGCGGGAAAAAATAATAAGAACAAACATCAAGGAACAAAGTCAACTCATTTATATTATCAAACTATATTGTATGTCAATATCTTTGATCTCCTTGATCATACAGCCAGAGGAGCAAGCTTGTGTTGGGGAAGTGGGTTTGTTCCCGCAATTAATGGGAGCGACTGACAGGCTGCTAAATGCTGATCATGAAAAAGTTTACTTCAAGGGAATGCCGATGTATAATGGAACGGTAAGATCAGAACTACATTTCTTACAATACTTGAACCTCTTCATATGCTTAAATGTGATCTTATTGAATCCTTTGAATTTATGTTTGGTACTGCAATTGATATGTGATGAAAGTAAGAATCTTTTCTATTACTTGACATATGATCGGCAGCAACTTAGGAGACACGGAGACATACTGAAAAGAACTGTTGGAGGCTATTTGATTGTTCAAGGCAGGTCCGATGATACCATGAACCTCGGTGGCATCAAGGTAAAGAATTCACCTGCACCCTTTATTTGATGAGCAAGTGCAAGCTTTGTTGCCTGATCATCTGTTTACATTTAAACTGATATGCTCGGACTTGTTTTCGAAACATTAAATGCCTTCGATCTTTCTTGAATTTCAGACAAGTTCTGTTGAAATTGAGCGCGTCTGTGACCGGGCTGATGAAAGCATCTTGGAGACAGCTGCAGTCAGTGTTGCACCCAAGAGTGGTGGTCCTGAACAGTTGATTATATTTGTCGTATTAAATAAGGGATATAACTCCGAACCAGACGAGCTGAAGAAGAAATTCTCAAAAGCCATTCAAAGCAACCTTAACCCTTTGTTTAAGGTTTGACTTCTAACAATCTTCAAAACAAAAACATGTCCCGTGACAGTTCGCCTGTGTTTCTTTGTTGCTGCTTCAGAAACCAAAGCATGTTCACGGCATTTTTAGTTGTTTTTTTTCTTTCTCTGAAGGTTCTGAAGTTTTCAAACATTTAATGGACTGAACAGGTGAGCTTGGTCAAGATTGTACCAGAATTTCCTCGAACAGCGTCCAACAAGTTACTAAGAAGAGTTTTGAGGGACCAAGTTAAGCATGAGCTCTCTGTTCGGAGCAGAATGTAGCAGCGCCGAGCAGACTCGACTGTCAACCAACAGAGCCCACTTCCTTTTGTATGGGTGAATAGGACAAGTTTTCTGCTAGCAATACATTGTAAGTTTCAGTTTGCTGAAATAAGCGAAGAACGCAATTGATGCTATTATAAAGAGGATGTTTCTGTTTAATAATAGTCACTTGGCAACATTCTAAATTGTTGATTACAAAAAAATTATAAATCGGGGGTCTCACGTTTAAAGGTCTTTTAGAGGTGATTTCAGAGAGCATTCTTGGTCAGTCATTCCATGTAGTGGCTTATGGTTTCAAGTTTAGTGTCTTTAATTTTGTTTATTTGGTGGTACATATCTCATTTGCTATTGAGCTTGGCTTTAATGGTCATTATTCATCACATTTTTTACTACATGAGAACATTTTCGTCCGTAGTGCATGATGTTTATATTTTGGCAAACTCAATCGTTCTCTTCCCATCATGGGGCTTCGCAAAGAAATGCTTGACATAATCAGAATACAGAACTTGCTTAATACACTGGTTTCTCTGCACTCACAAGCACTTCCGGCAGCGGAGAGATGATTTCCGAAGGCCTTGGTGTGACAAATATGGGAACTGAAACCCTGTTGTTGCTTGCATTGGCAGACACTCGATGCTCACTGCTCTTATTGCTGGCATTGGGAACTGAAACCATATTGTTGCTTGCATTGGCCAAATTGGATATGGTATGAAGTCGAATGCTCAGGCGAATGTTCGTTCAAATACTTAGTCCTCCTCAACTGGCAACTCAAAGAAGCGATAGTTGCCTCCGCATTCTCAAGCACTTGAATGGGCACCCCGTGATTTACCAACTGAAAGAACCCCTACTTTTCTGCTGCCTTGCAAATAGAATCTGCCACTTTCCGGTCCTCCCAGTTCGACATGTGAATGATAGGGATGGGGTCTTGTAACATTATCATGGTACTGAATTCTTTCTTCAAGGGGTTGTATATATTGGTAGGGAATGCTTTTGAGGCCCAATTCTAAGGGACCCTTTACTCCATTACCTTTGTTTATAACAAAGTCAGTGATATGTGAGAGGTTGGTGTTGGTTTTGGGGCCTATAGTTGTTAAGTCTTTGCCCATTCCAAATTAGCCATTGACTTCCCCTGTATTTTTAAGTGTTACACAATAATGCTCATTCAAATCATTTAATTTTAGCCAACTAACTAGTGGCTCGCATACACAGGTAAGAGTCAAAGACTACAACAAATTAAGGTGTATATATATTCACACTAATTTTATTAGTCACGCAAACTTTTCAGGCACACCAACTTTATTTCCCATATAGAACGGTATTTTATAGTGAACTGATTTCGGATTCATTTTGTGGGGATCTTAGGAATTTTTACTTCTTAGTCATTCATGGTGTATCGTACGGTCAGAAATCATTTGACTTTTTTTAATTTAAAATTAAACACAAAATAGTATCAAACGAAAATTGATTGGACGAAGTACAATAAACGGTTAGAATGTGATGATCTCTAAGATTTCTACTAAGTGAATCCGGAGAGCATCCTGTTCCATTTTATAGCCAATTTTCGCAATGCATACAAATTCTTCTATCGGGGGTAGGTGATGTAACACGCAATATTAATACATATCTAATCATGCACTGACATACGTACATTGAGAATGAGTTTGATGTATTTGAAATTGTACATATATATACACGAAGTAGATTTTAAACATATTAAATATTAAGTTTTAAACAATAGTAGAGTTCACATGGTAACAAAGAGTTGGGAAAGACAGGTTAAGAAAGGTAGCTAGCATCCTTCTTACAATGAAATATTACTTATGCAGTGTTGTAAATATACTTTTAGCATATATGTGATTGTGTAAATTATTAGTAGATTATATTTAGGATACTATAAGATAATTTCACTTTAGAATTGTATTACTTGCAAAGCAGAAAATCATACTTGATTTACTATAAATATAAATAAAGTCACAAGATCAGGGAATAAAATACAGAATTCCTCAAGCCTAGTCTTCATATTCTCTCTTCGCCGTCCGTCTCTCCCTTCTCTAAAATAGGCCACAAAATCCGTCTCTCCCCCTCCTCTAAAATAGGCCACAACACCAGCATGTTCTTGACACTGCATTAAAAAAAATTGTCCATCTTCAATAAGACGATTATTACGTTTCAATCATTATTATGAATAAAATTTTACTTTTTTAAATTCATATACTATTATTAATTTCAATTTATTTTTATGTCAAATGAAATACACGCTTTGAAGATGGAAGAAATTGGAGGAGGAATTCCTACAAACTCGTTCACAATATTTATCATCACAATCAAAGTTCTTTTAAAACATAGTCGAAATTTTTTCAACCTAATTGCATGAACATTCAATATAATGCATAACTGCGGCCTGAAGCCGCAACGTGTAAACCAAGCCGACGGCCAAAACCCAGCAGAGATCCATACGAACCGTTTCGTCCCTCGATCTCTCCGTTTACCTCATCGCCTTCGTGCGATATCCTGTGGAGATCTATGATCTCTGACCACACAGACGACCTGCAGTCGTGCAGTCGTCCCAGGTGACACGCTCGTCTTCTTCTCTCGCCACCATGCTTAGGCATAGTTTGTAAGTTTAAACTTTCTGAGGTTATAATTGTCATAGACTCCTTGTGAACAGTTGGATTTGCAACATTTTCTTTGTGTGCCTTTAGTGTGAAAGGAGAAAGATACAATATAAACAATAAAAGAAGGATATTTCATATTCGTCAAGCTGGCACAAAGAAGAAGAAGAAAATCAGATCACATACTCAGTTCAATTTAGAATTGGATATGATGAGTTGTAGTAGGATAAGAATGCATACATTTAAGAGATTTAATCACCTCTCTTAGTACATGAGAACATTTTCGTGCGTAGTGCATAATCTTCATATTTTGGCAAACTCAATCGTTGTCTTTCCATTATGGGGCTTCGCAAAGAAATGCTTGACATAATCAGAAAAGAGAACTGACTTATACACTGGTTTCTCGCCACTTTCAAGCACCTCCGGCAGCGGAGAGATCATCTCAGATGGCCTTGGGAAGACAAATATGGGAATCGAAACCCTGTTCTTACTTGAACTGACGGCTACTAGATGCTCAACGCTCTTGTATCGCCCATTGCTTATTATTTGCAGTGCATCACCAATGTTGATCACTAAGGACCCCTTCACAGGTGGAACATGAATCCAACCGCTATCATTGTCATTGCCATTGTCATTCCTTCGCACGTAAAGGCCACCAATATCGTCCTGAAGGAGGATTGTAAGCGTTGAGATATCAGAGTGACGGCTGTAGAATATCTGATGTATATTTCATGTATAAAACAGTTACAAGTTCATACATAAATAGAAGAAGAAACGGGAAAGAGAGAGGAGAACAAAAGGTAGGGGACAATGGCAGCTAAGCAAGTATAATGATGACCTCCACTCTCTCTAACTTAAGCCATTAACAAGAACAAGCTTTATAATGATGAGGGAATAACAACCAGTTAATACTAGCACTAAGACTAGCTGAATGCAAGTTGAGCTGTTATCCATCAAGGCTAGATAAAAGCTTGCATTATTCTTCCACCATTTAACCCTACTTCTGTATTAGGGTTAAAGACTGATACTTCAATACTCCCCCTCAAGTTGGATCGAGAGATTTTCTGGATCCAAGCTTGAAGAGAAGACGATCAAGTTGTGCAGAAGGAAGAGGCTTGGTGAACACATCGGCAAGTTGATCACTGGAGTGAACAAATACAGTTTGTAACAGCTTGGACTGGACTTGGTTGCGGACGAAATGACAGTCAACCTCGATATGCTTTGTGCGTTCATGGAAGACGGGGTTGGCAGCAATATGCATCGCTGCTTGATTGTCACAGTGAAAGAGAATTGGCTTGGAGGAGATGATTTCAAGATCACGTAGCAAACTCTTTAGCCAAATTAGTTCGCATGCAGTAAATGCCATTGCACAGTACTCAGCTTCTGCGCTTGACCGAGCTACAACGAATTGCTTTTTGCTCTTCCACGTGACGAGATTACCACCAACAAGACTGCAGTAACCAGTTGTGGACTTGCGATCAAGGACATTGCCTGCCCAATCAAAGTCTGTGTATCCTTCAATGGTGAAGTGTCCGTTGTTTTGCATGAAAATCCCGGTAGACATTGAGCTTTTCAAGTACTGAAGGATCATTTTAACTAGTTGCAGATGATGAGATGAGGGAGAATGCATGAACTGGCTGACAAAGCTAACAACATAAGCAATGTCAGGTCGGGTTATAGTCAAATAGATAAGTTTTCCTACCAACCTTTGATACTCCGATGCATTTTCAAGCTGGATGCCTGAGGTTTCATCCTTGAAATTTGTTGGTAGTGGTGTTTTGGCAGGCTTACAATGCATCATATTGGCTTCTTCTAAAAGATCGAGAACGTACTTTTGTTGATTTAGAAACAGACCAGTTGGAGATTGATCCATTTCAATTCTAAGAAAGTATCGGAGTCTGCCAAGATCTTTGATTGAGAAGGTTGAATGTAAGGTGGCTTTGAGAGCAGTTATTTCTTCTGGATTATCTCCTGTGACAATAAGATCATCAACATAAACAAGTACCACCAATCTTCCATGCGTACCAATCCTAGTGAACATTGAAGAATTTGTATTGCTTCGTTTAAAACCGGATGACATAAGGACAGAGCTCAGTTTTGAGTACCAAGCCCTTGGAGATTGCTTGAGACCGTAAATGGCCTTGTGAAGCTTGCAGACTATTCCTTGTTCCTTCTCTCGTTCATGACCAGGTGGTAGACGCATGTACACCTCTTCTTCTAACTCCCCATTAGGAAATCGTTTTTTACATCCATTTGATGTAGAGACCAGTGTGAATTGATAGCCACCGAAAGAAGCACTCTAACTGTGTTCATCTTTGCCACTGGGGCAAAGGTTTCTTTGTAATCTACCCCGAAGGTTTGCGTGAAGCCCCTTGCAACTAACCTTGCCTTGTGCCGTTGTATGGTTCCATCTGAGTGAAATTTCGTCTTGTAAATCCATCTTGCCCCAACCATACGTTGATCTTTCGGCAGAGAAACAATGCTCCAAGTTTGATTTTCATCGAGTGCCTTCAGTTCTTCAAGCATGGCACGCCTCTATACAGGAGATTGGTTTGCCTCTTCGAATGATCGAGGCTCAGAGTTTCGAGATAACTCAGTAACAAAGGCCGCATGAGATGGGGAGACCTTGCTATGGTAAACCATTTGTCCAATAGGATATCTAGGCGTGTAGATTTCAAAATCATCAAGCCTGGCTAGAGGTTGTCTGTTTCGAGAAGGATTCCTTCGTGGAGGAGGAGGTTGTTCAAGTTGGGGCTCTCTACTTTCATGAAGGACTTCTTCATCATATGCTTCCATATTTTCAAGAGCTGGCTCTATCTCAACAGCTTCATTGTGCGGTGTTGATAGCCTTGGATCATCAGGGAAGAGATGAGTGGGAAACACTTCATATGAGAGCTCCCCCTGAGGTTCATCATCATGCTTCTGAAAGAAGGAGTGCGTCTCATCAAAACGTACATCCCTGGATACAAACACCTTTCTGGTCTTAGAATTATAGCATTTGTATCCCTTTTGGGAAGTTGAGTAGCCTACAAATGCACACTTGATAGCCCTTGGATCAAGTTTATCTCTGTGAATAGTTTGAATGTGCACATAGCATACACATCCAAACACATGGAGATGACTTATGTCAATTTCTCTCCCCTTGAGAATTTGGTAAGGAGATTTAAACTTCAAGATTCTGCTAGGAAGGCGATTGATGATGTATGCATCGGTTTGTATAGCTTGAGACCAGAACTTCTTTGGACGATTTTCTTGTAACATTAGTGATCGTGTTTTCTCAAGCAAATCTCGGTTCTTTCTTTCTGAAATGCCATTTTGTTGTGGCGTTCCTACACAACTTGTTTGTTGCAAAATTCCATGCTCACTTAAGTAAGTTGTCATGATTTTGGAAGTGTACTTAGACCCATTATCAGACCTTAAGATGCCAATATTAGAGTTAAAATGATTTTGAACTAAGTTATGAATTTTTTTGAAACACTGGAAAGCTTCGTGCTTGAATTTAAGTAAATACACAAAGGTAGTTCTAGAGAAATCATCAATGAAAGATATATAGAATCTGTAACCATCAAAAGACTCTAAGGTTGCAGGTCCCCAAATGTCGGAATGGACAATTTCAAAAGCTTTGGTAGCTCTAGAGAGAGAATGGGGAAAGGGTAACCTGGTAAACTTAGATTTGTGACAAACTTCACAATCTGGGACCACTTTACAGAAACTAGGAAAAAGAAAAGACATAACATGTGAAGAAGGGTGAGCTAATCTCATGTGCCACATCTGCTCCTTGTTTACTGTGTTTGAGTTTACGTAGAAACTCTTTGGAAAACTTGAAGAGAAGTTGACATAGTACAGTCCATTGAGGAAGAACCCTTTACCAATCGTTTCCTTCAAAACTTGATCCTGGAAAATCACACAGTGAGTGGAGAAAATTGCAAGACAATTGAGCAATTGTGTTATTCTTCCTACTGACAACAGTTTGAAAGGAAAAGAAGGGACATGCATGACAAGGGATTCTTTTTGACTTGAAAAGATTTTGAGTTTCCCTCTACCTACTATACGAACTTTAGTGCCATTAGCTACGGAGACAAAAGAAGGAGTGGAGAAGTTTTGAAAATCATTTAGTAAAGATGCATCGTTAGTCATGTGATCAGAAGCTCATGAGTCGACTATCCAAAAATCACGACTACTACTAAGATCCAATGCAGTGGAAATAGTTGCACAATACCTGGCACGTCATTTTGTGACACTGAGCTTGATTGTTCGAGGAAGCCAGCAAACTTGCCGAGCATGGCTGAAGGACATTCATGATTTGTTGTTCCTTGTTTCTGTTGCAAGAAGTTAGCAAATTCATTTATAAGAGTAATGGGACTAGAGGAAGAGTTTATCACATTATTGGAGACATTGTCGCAAACAAGGTTTCCTCTAGGAGTGTAGGCAGGCTTCATTTGGTTTCTTGGTGCTCTTCCATCATCGTTGAACTTGGGTTTAAGTTCTGGATGAAGAATCCAACACTTTTCTTTTATGTGTCCAACGCCTGGACGACCTATCTTCACACAGTAAGAACACTTTAAGTCTGGTCGTTTTCCCTTGTATGGTCTGGAGAAGATGAAGGCTCTCGCTTCTGATGGCCTAAGATCTGATTCTCCAACGACCACGTCTGCGTTCATGACCTTCTTTCTTACTTCACGTTGAATAACATTGCAGACCATCTGGAAAGTGGGAAGTTCATGTGTCATCAAGAGACGACTTTTAAGGTCTTCATACTCTGATTCAATGCTGGCAAGCAACTGGAACACCTTGTCTTCTTCAGCACGCTTTAAAAGAATGGTTGTGTCCGTGGTATGACGTCTGTAGAGATCCAATTCATTCCATTTGGCCTTCAAGTTGCCAAGATGTTGAACAAAGGAGAGATTTCCCTGTTGTACTTCCGTAAGGTCTTTCTTCAGCTGGAAGACTCGCGCAATATTGTTTAGATCCCCATACATGTCTCGTACAGAATTCCAATGGTGGTGAGATGACACTGAATAACTGAAAATCTTAGCCATCTTTGGTTCCATAGAGTTTAACAGCCAAGACATGATAAGTTGATCTTGGGACACCCATGCTGCATAATCTGGTGAAGTTGTTTCGGGCATGATGTCATCCTTTTGAATGAACGAGAGCTTTCCACGTCCTCCAAGAGTGAGAGAAATAGCTCGTGACCAGGGCAGATAGTTGAATTCGTTTAGGAGCACAGAGCTCAAACGTTGAATTGGGTTGGTATCCATGGTTTCGTTTTTTGAAATTTTCTCTGCTGGTGTTGCCATAATGGCTTAACTGGTTTGGGTTTGGTAGGATTTCGGAAGAACACAGAGGCAGGTCCAAGAGGGATCACTGCTCTGATACCATGTAGAATATCTGATGTATATTTCATGTATAAAACAGTTACAAGTTCATACATAAATAGAAGAAGAAACGGGAAAGAGAGAGGAGAACAAAAGGTAGGGGACAATGGCAGCTAAGCAAGTATAATGATGACCTCCACTCTCTCTAACTTAAACCATTAACAAGCTTTACAGCCACTAACAAGCTTTATAATGATGAGGGAATAACAACCAGCTAATACTAGCACTAAGACTAGCTGAATGCAAGTTGAGCTGTTATCCATCAAGGCTAGATAAAAGCTTGCATTATTCTTCCACCATTTAACCCTACTTCTGTATTAGGGTTAAAGACTGATACTTCTATAAGATTTGGGGAAATGGGGTAGTAGTTGAGCTGGATACGCTTGGCCCCCATTAAAAGATATTCTTTTGCTTTGTCTATTTCTTTCACATTTAGTCTTCTCATTAGCAACTCTACGAGTCGTTTTTGTAAGAATTTCAGACTTCTTCATATATTCAAGTACTTCATCCCTAAAACCATACATACATATATACATAGTCGTATAAATACTTTTATTCAGATTAATAAGTTAAAAAATCTAAAGAAGATATAATGACTTTTAAGATGATGGCGATGAGAAATGAATTTTTTATTACGTACTAATCTATCATTTGTGGTATGATGTCCATACTTGGTCGATACTTACTATTTTGTTGATATTTGACATGATTGACAAAATATATCAACCAAATTAATATCCATGATACAGCATGTACCATAGATTTGGTGTCTAGTAACTAGCCACTGTCCTACAAGTGATCATATTTGTTATGATTATTAGTCCTTTCTTATGAGCGGAATGATATGGAAAATGAACATGATATGAATGTACTTATCAGCAATCTTGTGTTTGAATGTGTATCATTTATTATTTTTATAGCTGTAGTCATGTCCTAATTTATGGAAATTTATTTTCTATAGTGTTCGTACTTGTAGCGTATCTCTACTAGTACTTGTGCAACATAGTTTATCATGCTGTATACCTGAATTTATAAAATGGATGTACATGATAGGGTGAGTTTTACTTCATGTACATGTTAGGGTGCATTAATTTACTTCTTACCTGCACACAGGAGGCCAAAACGCAGAGGCCTCATCTTGTCCTCATAAGCATAGAGACCAAGGAAATCCTTCCACTCCAGAGCCTTCTCTGCTTGAGGATTAAAGCTCGTGCCATATTGGACATTTTTCGAAGGCGAATGCTCTTTCGAGTACTTACTCTTCTCCTCAGCTGGCAATACAAAGAAGCGATGAGTTGCTTCCTTCACATTCTCAAGCACTTCAACCGGCACCCCGTGATTCACTAGTAGAAAGAACCCCAACTTCTCTGCTGCACTGCAAATAGATTCTACCACTTTCGGGTCGTTCCAATTCGACATGTCAATGATAGGAATGGAGTCTTGGGACATTATCATAGTACTGATTCTTTCTTCAAGGGGTTGGATGTATTGGTTGGGGATGCTTTTGAGGCCCAATTCTGAGAGACCCTTTACTCCATTGCCTTTGTTTATAACAAAGTCAGTGATATCTGAGAGGTCGGAGATGGTTTTGGCCATAGTTGTTAAGTCTTCTACAATCTGGGTACGGGAGAAGAGAGTACTTAGTTTACTATCTATATAGTAAAGTTTTGATCCAGTGACTAATACATATACTTGGATATTCTATATCTACCCTTCTACTCTGTATATTAACACCTAACCTACCATCAAATGCAATTAGAATGCTAGCTTGATCACGTGAGCTTTAGGTTGGGCACTAAATTACCTAATCCTAAGTGCTAGGTGTTGCTTTACCTTAGTGCTACGATAAGGTGCAGAAATATTTTTAAGTGTAATGTGATAGTATGACAATCACTTGTTAGAAAAAAAATTCGCATAATGCTCATGTAAATCAGTTATGTTTAGCCAACTAACTAGTGGCTCGCATACATAGGTAAGAGTCCGACTACGACAAATTAAGGCACATAAATAGATCTTCCTAGCTTGTGGGATAGGTCTATTAGTCACACAAACTTAGTGCATATAAATTACAATGGTAAGGGCGCTGACTGCGGTTTTTTAATAAACAAAAAAAATGTTGGAGGTCCCGAGTTTAATGCTCCGATCTGGCGAGTCTGTTTGATCCTGGTCACATGTAGGGTGTAATTCCTCTTAACCTCTTTGATCTCAAAAGAAGTGGATAACCGTGACTTACCATCAGTTATCCCCATTTAAAAAAAAAGAAACAGTGTGCATATAAATTCTTCTATCGTGGGTAGGTGGTGTAACACGCAATATTAATACATACCCACTTATGAATTGACATATCCACATTGAATTTGGCTCATCTGTAATTGTCATATAGGTCAACTAAGTAGTTTTTCAACCCATGCAAGACGTTTATTATGGTCTGTTAGGATTTTTTATTTTGTATTTTTTGTTGAGAAAATTAGAATTCCCTATTTATCTTTCATATTTTATGATTAAGCATTTGTCTCTTTATTCCTATTCAAGATTTAGTTAAAGTACTTTGAATTTGTCCACATCACCATTTTAGGTTTTATTTATTTTATGTCATTTTGTGCTTTCATTTAATCAAAGTGGTATATATTAATCTTGTCTGTTGTTTGAGAATTTTTATTTTTTTTTTTGCCATGAGATTGAGAAAAATTGTCCCTTTTTTCTACTGCACAATTACCATTAAAGACAAAATTCAATTGAAACTAAAACCAAAATTTATCTATAAACCTACGTTCAATAATCAAACACTCCGCTCAATGGCTCGATTCTTGGAGAGCAATGGATTCTCCAAACCCTTGAAAAAGTTTCAAAATCAGAAATCTAGAATGGTGAACTGAAGGACATTTTACTGGATTTGAAAGAAATGTATTGCAAGTATTATGAGATGTGTAGTGGAGGTACAAATGTACACGGCGAGGAGAAAGTATTTAAGGCCTTAGAATTGCGGTAAAGACTGATAAGTATTGCAAGGAGGCAAAGAAAGGATTTTCATATTTCGACTTAAATATTCTTTTGAAAATACATTTGTGGTTTAAGAAAGGGTAAAACTGATTTGAAATGCTTATAAACTTATTCTTAATCATCATGAAGGAAAAAAGTTTGCAAATTTGTTTTTTGTTTGAATTTTTCTTTAAAAACAAGGGCTAACCATCACAATTTTTGGCAGTTTTTCAAAATAGTTTAAAAATCGTTACAAAAACTATATAATTTCACCTTCAATGCATTGTGAGGTCTTGCGCAAAAACATGTAAGAGTTTTCGTTGATATTCTTGAGGATAGAGTCCCGTTTTGGCAATATTTTGGGCCCTACTATGTTTTTAGCTTAAATATATTAAAAATATATTTGTGCATCAATACATGGTAAAACCATTTCCAATTGTCTTGTAAAGTTTTTCTTAATGACCTCCAAAAATATTTTGCGAAAATAAAAATTGAATTTTCTCCAAAAAAGTGGGCTAACCATCACAATTTTTAGGCTGTTTTGAAAAATTGTACAAAATTCATCATAAAATGTATAGCCTTTCACCGTACAGCACCGTAAAGTCTTGAAAATTCATGTAAGATTTTTCGTTGATATTCTTGAGGATGGATTCCCATTTTAGCAATGTTTTGGTCTCCACTATAATTGTTTTTCTTTTTATTTTTGAACTTCAGCTTAAATTCTACTAAAAATACATTTGTGACTCAATAAATAACCAAATGCAAGTTCCAACATTGCATTGTTATGCCCTAAAATTAGAACAAAAAAAAAAAAAAAATTGAAGTTTTCTCTGATTGAGAACTCTCTTTTTTGTTCAAATTGTGTTTCAAGTTATGTGGAAATGTTTATTTTGTTTTATTTTTATAATTTTCTTATTGCTTTCTAGTCGTGATTCTTTTTTCTTTTTTTTTTCTTGCTTGCAACTATGAATTAATCCAAATTATGAATGGAAATGCTTAATTTTTTACAGCATTGCTGAGAGTGTTGGAAAAGGTGTTGAAGGCCTCCAGGTTGGTGATGTGCTACCAGTTTTCACTAGGGAATGCCGGGATTGTGTGCATTGCAAATTCGAGGAAAGCAATATATGTGACTTTTAAAGAATTAATACAGATAGAGTCATGCCTAGCGACCAGAAACCGAGGTTTTCTATAAACGGGGCTTCGACTAATCATTTTCTTGGCACATCCACCTTCGGTGAATACACTGTTGTTCATTCCGGCTGACTTGCCAAGATCAATCCCCTGGCTCCTTTGGATAAATTAAACTGGCATCCTCAGCTGTGGCATCTCAACAGGGTTGATGTTCTGCCCGAAATATTACGGTTTGGTTTATGTATCCAAAGTTGATCCTCTATATTCGATCGTTGTGTAATACCAAATATTTTCTTTTCAAACATCATGTTTGGGTGCCACTCTGAATGTAGCAAAACCAAAGTACGGATCTTCACATGTATGTAAATTGTTTGGCGCAACACCTATTTTGTTTCTTATTGTAAATAGGGGTGTAAATAAATTTTCACATGTATGTATATAGATTTCCACGTATATGTACTTACTACATTTTTGTATTGTTTTAAAACTTGCAGTATCGCACAAGCACGCTTGCTAGTGAGCTATGATAGGACGTTCGTTGGTGCCGACCTTGAACCGTCAACGCATTGTGATTCATAAACGAAGGAAGGACTAGCAGACAAACATCATCATAAAAACTTGCATGCAATTAGGACAATAGAGACATCTAGTTTTGTATTTCAATTGCATCTAAATTTTCATTCAGCGTAATAAGGAAACAGATAACCGTATGATAAAAATTCACATGCAACTAGGTCAACAGGATGCTAAAGGTGGTACTATCTCGAGGCAATCTCAAGCTTTGCATTTCATCAGTTGCAAATAAACTGTTTCAAACTGTAATAAGGGTTTATAGAAAATTGCACGATAAAAATTTACATGCAACTAAAATAATAAGATGTTAAGATATCAAATTTCTCAAACTAGAGATATAAATTTTATGTCTATGTTGCAAGTTGCGTGTAAATTTTCAAGTCGAAAAGGCCTATACAATTCTTGTATATATAATGCATGCTAGGCCTAAACCCTAAACTATATGTTATACATTCAAATAAAGAAAAAAGGTTGCACCCAAAAATCATACATATACTCATGTGTCATTATCCTTATTAGTTAATATCTAAATCTCAGCGCAGCATCCTGATTGAACAAACCCTGAAAACCCATCAGGCACACTAATCATATCTAAGTTACCATTTTGCCCTCCCTTCATTTCTTCCGCCATATAGAACCCTTGACTTGCCCCTTGGTACTCCGACCCCACCACCAGGGTCCCACCCCCAAGCATGATAGCGCACGTTCCAACTCGGACCGCCGAGTCCAACTCACCCCAACTCACCAATCTCCCACCTTCCCCTAGTCCTCCAACACAATGCCTCGGACAATGTCCCGCCTTCCACGCCTCGTCCTCCAGCCGCCACCGCCCCGACCCCAACTCCAACACCTCGGCACCTCCCTCGAAGACTCCTTGACTCTCGGTGCGATACCCGCTAACCACCCAAAACTCGCTCCCAATCACCACCCCCTGACACTCGTCTCGCTCCTGACTCATCTGAGTCAACTCAGTCCACTCGTCCAGTCTCACATCATAAACCCATGCAGACTTCAACGCGTTCTTGTACTCGTCGTGCCCGCCCGCCACGTAGACCCGTCCCGCGTCCGATCCGATGGCAAAAAATGAGCGCTTGGACGGCATGTCGTTGGCTTTCTTCCAATGTGAAGTGGTGAAGTCGTACACAAACACGTCAGTGACCGAGTTGTAACTCACCGGGTCCCACCCGCCAATCGCCACAAGCTTCCCTTCACAGCTTGCCAATTGGCAAAATAAGGGCATACCATTTGGGTACTGAGGAACCGGGTCGAGTCTATCCCACGAACGACTCACCGGGTCAAACACGGTGATTCCGAAACTCGGTGACTCGGTGGATTTGGGTACGTCAGATTCTGATGCAACAAGCTTTCGAGGAAGAGCTTGAACCAAGCATGCAACTTTGTGGGTGCGTGCGATTTTCTTCCTGTGATGGTAAAATTCTTGGCTTTCCAACAGAGTCCGCCATGGACGGCAGACCCGGGAAGCAACTGGTTGAGTTGAGTAGGGCAACCGAGTCAGACACTCGAGTCCGAGTTCTGCAGGCAGACCCGGAATCAAATCGGTAAGCTCGATACTCCACATTTTAGCAGAGAAGTGTGCTTTTGCAGCAAAGCAAATTAAGCAAGAAGTGCTTTTTGCAGCTAAGGAGAAAGTTATGTTTGCCAAAAAAAGAAGTGTTGTTTTGCATCAAAGAAGTGTATTGTGCACTTGCGTCGTAGGCCATGGACTAATTATTTATAGAAACAGATAGATGGTGTACACTGTAAAAAGGAAACATATTGCATTGGTCATGTTCGAAAACATCTAGTCTCGGATTTGACAGCAAATATTATTTTTTTCCCTTCAAAACCATATATTAAAAATGGCCGCCGGCCCCATATGATTCTATACTAGATCATGAAAACGTTACATTCAGTTTTTTTTTTTTTCTTCTCTTTAAAAGCATACCGATTAGTTGCTTTCTCACCACAATTCATTTTTTTACGGGTCGAAAAGATTCACATAATATTTCAGCCTCTCATAATTAAACGTTTACATCTTTACTAAGGCTTCATTCTTTACAAAATAGGTACATTTAC